AGGCAGCCAGTTTGAATGACGCACGTGGTTTCAGAAAAACTGCTTCAGTACTCATATTCGATGGTAACATACAATTTTCAACCGGACAGTGACTCGAGAACGTTTAGATACAGTCGGATTTCCACCAAAGACGAGCCGCTGTATAGGTATAAAAGAGGGTGAATAATGTGGAAAATAATAATAATAATAATAATAATAATAATAATAATAATAATAATAATAATAATAATAATGACAATAATAGTAATGATAATTATTTGAATCGACTGATTGTTTTTCGGAGCGAGAAAAGTAGTTGCCATAGACATAGAGTTCATCGTTTGTGAATGAGAAACTAAAGTTCAACAATAATTTGAAGCAGCAAAACTTCTACTTGATCAATCAATACCCTAATATATTAATATTCGAGTAAGCTCATGGAGATGAGTCTTCAGGTTTTGATCTGAATCCAAAGGCTACTGTTCTACATTTTTATTGATCCAAACGTTCAGATCACTTTGGATAGCATAAAAGCAAGAGTCGATTGTGAAAGTTTTTAAAAACATATCCCTCAGACAATCAGAGAAACTAATGAGAAATCAGCCAGGTAAAATAACAGTAAACGATTTGAAACAAGATAGGATAATGGCTCCGAATATGAAAAGAATGCTGTAACAAACGTTGATACCTAAGTAAATAAATTCACAATATCTTGCTAATTCAGTTAGAATACTACAATATCTTAAATGAATTTAGCAGTCAGACAACTGATACCTACCGTTTCTAATCAACCTTACAGTTGAGTATTTTACTTGTGAATTCCAGAGCTAAATTTCAAGCACAGAGAACTTCAGTCACTAACGCTACACCTACGACAGAGTTATTAAATTTATCCCTGAACAGTATTTACACTTCAAAGGAAATGTTTCAATTACCCTTGAATAAAGCGAGTTTATCATGCAGATAGCACGTACCAAACGTGGTCACTCGTCAAATAATTATGAAACGTGAGACAATTCATATTTGTAAATAACATTCCCCTCCTATCGAATCTGGTCCACTAGGGTGCTTGGTACCTGTGTGGCTGCGCCACAGGATTGAGCTGTACTATTCAGATTGTAGCGTTAAAGTTTGTACAGTGTCTGGTTCTCCTGCTAAACGGGGTTGAGCTGTACTGTTTGGGTTTTTACGTGAAAGTCCGGATGGTGTCTGGTTTTCCTGAAAACCAATGTAAAATTACCCTGGCCCACAAGGGTATATTATATAACTGTGAACTAATAATAACTCCTATCGAATCACATATCCCAATAATTTAGAATGAGCAGTACAACTGCTGAACCGCTATCCTACCTAACAACTCTGTGACTATTCAACAATACCAACAGCAAATACAGGTTTCTTTTAAGATGATCTGAAGATAGCTTACAAAGTCTCTAATTGACAATAAAAACATCAATGGGACATATATAGCGACAGCCTATGCTCCACAAAGAATAACATGCGTACGTAAGTGCAGCGACTTAGTTGGACTGTTGCAAGCTAAAGAATGAGACCTAAATACTTAGCGTTTTCCGTTCTCAAGCAGAATAATCAATGCTTCACTCTTATTTTAGTTATAAGCTTCCAATCGATTCTGTAGAGAAACGCAACGAAAACTAGAATTTGTTCACCAATTTTCCACATTTTCAAGTAATAACGCATTTGGTTCGTGGTATCTTCGGTACATCACAAGATACTTACCAATGAGCTAGTATGGACACTTCAAATTTCCATGACATTGGTTGTCAACGATATTCGACAATTTCCGATAAATCTCACACTTCACTTGAGCACTATTCCTTGGCAAAGTTCCTTAGAGAAAAAATAAGCTTATACTTTTACTACGAAACATACGATGACAGAGCAGAAAATCCGCATTGTCTAATCCAGATGTCAGTTTGTTGGAATACCTAACAGAGCATTCAGTTTGTTTTCCGTTCTTATACGTTAAAATGACTAGCAAGAAATCATGGCTTAGGATTGGTCAATCGAGCAGATGAACTCGCTCTATCGTCTTCTAGATCATGAGTCCCAGTATCCCTTCATTAATACCTTTCATTCTCGCTTTTCCCTTGATTATTTCTACTCTTGTGCTGTTCAACCCATTAAATACATATTTGCACTAGGCTCTATATTATGACAGAGCACAAAGTGGTAAGATATAAATCACGACTCCCTGCAGAAAAACAACGAACTGAACTTAAACAAAATATTAAAATACAGGTTGGATATCGCCGGTTACTTTACTAGTTGCTACACATTACAACAATGTTGTGATTGCACTGGCTCCATCAGTTGCAAGCTACAGTTCCAAAAACCCGACTTTCCTCATAATCTTAGTTCTGGTCAGATGTGCAATTTTTTCTTATCTAAGCTCATAAAAGTTGTCAATAGCATATTTGGAGCCAATAAAGAATACTTAATTTACCAAAAAGTCATTGTCAGATCGTGATTGAACTTAAACGGGGCAATTAGGACTTGTCAATATGCGAATAGATTTCTAAGAATATAATTGCCTTTTCAAAACTTCGTAATAGCTTATAACGTTCAAACTAGCGTTTCGGTAACCATTCTTCTGCAATGATATTGAGTGTTCAATCAACCGTCTGCGTCACTTATTACATCTACCAATAAGAAATACCAGCACAATCGTTACACTTCCAATCATTGTAGGGTGAGAATTCAGGTAACTGTAGTAAATTGTATTGAATTTCGTAAGATTTTGCTTTAGGACATAATCAGAATTGACCAAGTACAGGGACAGGCAACCTACAAGAATAAAGGTCTATGTGGTGAATATGTGTAGTTAGACACAAATGATCATCTTCATTTCATGTTTCATATCGACGATATTCCAAACGGTACTCACCAAATAGGTAATCATATTAAAATAGGAATGTCTGTTATCGCACGAGCGTAGGATATTTAACACATTTAAAGGTGATCCAAATATTGAGTTTATTATAAAACACTTCTGCTTAGAACGATTCTAGTTAGTGGACCAGAAGAAGCTTATTACCTTGATAATTCTTAGAGAAGGAATTTACGATTGACACAGTAAAGTAAGATAATATATCACATTGCTTAATTAGGCTGTAGATATACAAAAAATGAGTTGAGTATTTAAGAATATCATGTCAGTCTAGCAAGCTATAATCAATAAGGATACTGTGTCATTACCTAACGACAACCGAGGCAAAAACCAATAGTTGGTGAGTAAAATATATATTCAAAACCATTAGGCGCCAATCTTTTTCACAATAAGAAATCAGTGAAAGTAATCTGAAGTTACTCCACTGCTGCCTACACATAATAACCATTTGCTAGTAACTTTCTGTCCAAAAAACACTATCAATTCGATAAGTGGAGAGGTTCTTTTTTGAACACACGCTTAACTAGTTCAACACATGTTAATGATCATCTAATTAAATTCATCCAAAAACTGCAGATGTTGATATTAACAAAGAAACTTCTAGAATCGTAATTACAATCATAAAGTTGGCAAAGTACTGAAGGGATTGATAACCTAATATTGGGAATGTTTATCGAAAACAAATACTGATAGGACACCATTATCAAGGAATTTATCCCTTGAGTTAAAACGCATCTTTCATGTCGTAAGATAAAATAGCCTCACACATCTTGAAAGATCAGATGCTAATTATGATTTCACTAGTCGATAACATTAGTCGAATGGTGCGCATCTGATGAATGTTGGGTACGAAACTTTTCAGGATCTAAGGGGATTAAACCACTAATATTCAAGGTCAAAACGCTTGTCTGTTAACTATTCTTCAAAGGGCTTCATACCATCTACAGTAATTGTTCCTGTAAATATATCTGACTAGTTCAGAGTTGCAGGAATCCAGTTTGCAGATAACGTGAAACGATCCATATTTTATGGGCTAGTTGTCTGATTCTCACCTTACAAGTGAGAATCTGATAGACAAACAACAAATACATAAATGACTATGCTCAGGTACTATATCGTCCTCACTAAATTCCTGAGATTCTTATAAAAGTTACTTTATATACTTGATAATAGCACAAACTAGTTATTCTAGATCCAAAAAATTTGAGCATTCACTAATTACTTCTCAAAATGGCTTCACAATGTGTCCGAAGCTACAATTTAAAGGATGATAATAGTATGCTAAGCAGTATGATAGGAGTATCGATATAACTATTTGTCCTATGAATACATCATATACACAGTAAGTTTACTCTACAGGATTAAAGTCATTAAGTTATAAAATGTAAAGTACTGAATCACTGCATTCTATTCGTATGTTTTAAAATGACTAAACACATTAACAATAACAAGTATAACACTACGTTATAAATGAAAGGGTATTCATTCTAGATCAAAAGCTCGAATTTTACTTTACCGTAGTCTGTTATTACAAATATGCTAACCACTAAACCACTGATATACATAATGAGATCGATCAGATGAGAACTATGTAAGGTAATACCCTCATATGCTATAGTGTTTTGTCATTACTTCACAGTTTGGTATTAGCATGAGAAACAAAACATTCGTTTCGCTATGTTATTGCAGAATTTTTAAGTGTATGTTGACTTCAGAGACATGAACAAGCCCTAAAATTACTAGTAAAAAACAGAATTTTAAATTCTGTCATTAAGTTCATTAAAATAGAATATTAATGATGGTCATACAATCAGAACTGTTACAAACAAATGGATTGTTTTGAACTTCGGAAGTTTATTATTTTATTGAGACCAGTAGACACCATCTTTATGAGATATAGTAAACCGAATTAAATTTCGATATAGTTGTCTTAACTACATACAGAATCCTCAAATGAATCAAAACACGATACCAAAAGATAGTTATTTAACAGTTGATCTCTCACTCTAGGTTCAATATAACCATATCAGTACACCTAATTATTGCTTAAAATTTAGTATGTCGAGTGTAAAAGACTTAACTTAGAGGGTTTATCAGAACAAACGACAGTGATTTCGCTGAAATTTAATGTTATTAAAGTATGACAATCATACAACTTTTAAAGTAGGAACTTAGAAAAAACGATAAAAAAATGTTAATTTTGAATCACCTCAGATGATTTCATATTTAAAACATATTTATGTACAGTTATCTTAGAGATTATTTAGAACTCTGATTCACTGGACCATAGTTTATTATCGCCGTGTATCAGGAGTTGGATAATACTCTCGTGGACTGGGAGATGGTGAACCTGGTCGAGGAGTGGTCATAAAGTAGTGTGATGAAGGAGTATGGAAAGTTGATGGGCTATATGCTGAGGTGCCAAGGGTGGATCCAGAGAAACCAGTACCTGAATAGCCCAGAAGACTTGAAGATCCCAGGCCAGTTCCAGTACTTAAACCATGAGACATAGGATAGTTTGGAGTAGTTGGATAAGAAAGTGGAGAATTACTTGGTCCTCCCAAAGTTCCACTTGGAGCACCACCCGGAGAACTGGGGGTAGTCATCTGTGGAGAATAACTTTCCACTGAGGAACTTCCAGCTAACGTCGGAGGACTGTAACGAGGGGCAGAAGGAGAAGCATTAAATGATAGTGGTGAAGCAGGTTGACTATTTGGATAAAAAGATGGTCTGCTACCACTTAAACTGCTTGCGCTCATACCGGGTGAAGGTGAACTTGGAGAGACTCCAGGAGTTTCTGAGCCAGGCAAAACGCCCCAACCGCTGAAATCTCGACTCATTGAACTACCCCCACCTGTAGGCATTGGACTGTTCGGGCTATAAGAATAATTTATGCTATCGGGTGAATCGCTGGACGGACCAAGAGACCCACTAGATATCATTCCATATCCTGAAAAACTGGGATGGTGTGGAGAACGTTGAGTGTATCCGACAGACATAGGTTCATAGGATTGTTGTAATGAGAACGTTGGTGAGTTGCTATCCCCACTAGCACTGAAACTTGAACTGCTGCCTGTGCCAGCGTAGGATGGTTTATGTATGGGTGAAAATATATCGGCACGAAGACTTCCAGGACCTCCATACCCAAAAGAACCACTACTGAGGCTCCCAGAATGTCCAGGACTAGAGCCAGGTGAACCCAACTCCGTTTGTGGAGTACCCATAAAAGACATAGGACTACTGAAGCCAACATATGCAGCTGGTGAAAATGCTTCCGGAGTACGAGGACTGTCTAACTGAGGACTTCGACCAGGAGATAAAGAAGAATCGTAACGCATAGCCGGGGAGAACATAGCATTATGTGGAGCTGTAGCGCCGCCAAGGCCTCCACGGTAACTTGGAGAATCCACAGAACCAACAGGAGAGTGGGCGTTATCCCATGGTGTATGATAACCACTATCCCCAAGTACAGGTATTCCATCTGCATTCATAGTCAAGCCCAATCCAGGTGAAGCAAGTGCAGCAAGACCCTCGAAACCTGGTGCATTGAATAAACCCATTCCCAAGACACCACCGAGTGGTATAGGTTGCGCTTCCTGACACTTGGCTGAATCCAAAAGCAAATCAAAACAACCTGTCCCAATTCTAGCCAGTTGACCGAGCATAATAGTTTCTGAGACACCAGCCATTGGATCACACTCAGAATGGATAGCAGCTTCCATAAGTATGTCAACTGTTTCTTCAAAACTACAACGAGCCAAAGCCCCCGTATCCAAACGGTTAAGACCATGCCGAGTAATAGCCATGAGATGTCCTTTGACAGTCATAATATCACACAATAACGCCAGATGACGATAATTGACATACGAGCCATCAAAAGAAATGACATGATGCATCTCACATTCTATTGCTTTACGCACAGCTTCAATTCCAAGAGCTTCAAAAATTTCTACAATATCATTGCTGACTGTGCGTACCGGATCTACATCTCGTTCAGCAAGAACTCTCATTAGACAAGTGCCGTCAGTTTCTAACATCCACTCTGCAACCGTATCAAAGCTTCCATCATCTTTGATAACCACACGCTTTTTATCTTGCGTTTTAGGTAGATGCATGTACACTTTTGTGATCTGAGGTATTCCCTGGAGAGTAATATCAGTTAACAAATTTGCTTCAATAAAACGAAGAAATGTATCATCTTCCATTTTATCAGAGGTGGTATCAGCATCCTTAAAATCTTTTTCCAAGTCACTATTCATAATACGAATTCTCATGACCAGCTTTAAATTATCATCTGGTATGTGACATATAAGATCATTACCGAAAGCTCGTGTTATTTTATCTGCGATTTGTTCCATTGATAATTTTTTACCAGTCATACCTTTTCTAGTGAACTCAATGCGAAGCATCCAAGAGCTAATTGCGCTAACATCAAAATCTGGTAACTCGTAATATGTGGATACCCATTCTCTATCTTCTTCAACGACGGTATTTTGGGGATCTGGGTCATAATATATGTAAGTGCTGTTGACCAGTTTACGTAAAGTAGTATGCTCTAGTCGTGCAACAACATCTTTTGTTCGTTCTGCATCTCTAGCAGCTTGACCAGTCAAGAAGATAGTCATAGATGGAGTTTTCGGACGTTTGCTTACGTTTATTATTTCTTTCAAACGAGGAACACCAAGAGTGACATTTTTAGCAGACACACCAGCGTAGTGGAAGGTATTCAAAGTCATTTGAGTAGCTGGTTCTCCGAGAGATTGAGCTGCTAGTGCTCCAACCATTTCACCTGGGTGAATATGGGCTTGTTGAAAACGGGCACGAACTTCACCTAACACCCAATCTAAAGCCTCGTAACTAAGGCGGTAGTCAATGATTACTTTTTTGGCGCATAGCGATGCTCTAATCAGTGAGCTTAACAGGAGTGTAGCGTTTGCGTTGGCTTCTTTGCTCAGTCGATCATCACCTGGTACAACTATCAGACGCTTACAAGTCTCTCGAACCATTTCAACAACTTGTCTGGGATGGATATTTGTTTTTGAAAGCGGATCTATTTCGAAAATTTTTTGAGCATTCATCACTAGTCTATTAATGTTACATGGTAAAACAACGGAGTCATCCGTTTTTTTGATGACAGAACGAAGTATTTCTCTATCAGAACACAACTGCAACCATTCTGACTCTAGTTCCGATTGTGTTTGTGAATCTGTAGCCAAACTGCGGACAACATCCTCGGGCATACATCGTCTCAGAACTCTTTCGTTGCCAATGTCGAACCGAAAACCGTGTTCAAAAACAGCATTAGACGGTTTGAATGTTGGAAGGCGCTGAAACTCCACATGGGTTGCATCCAGCCCATCTTCACCATATCTAAGTTGAATTAACTGGTTGATTTGATTTCTAACAGTCCCATCGTATTTGATCATAACTGATTCCATAGCTTTAATTAGACGACGTTGAATGTACCCAGTTTCGGCAGTTTTGACTGCAGTGTCTATCAAGCCTTCTCGACCACCCATAGCGTGAAAAAAAAATTCAGTGGGTGTTAAACCAGCAAGGTAGGAGTTTTCAACGAAGCCACGAGACTCAGGACCATAATCATCTTGGATAAAATGTGGTAGCGTACGATGACGAAAACCGAAGGGGATTCTTTTACCTTCAACGTTTTGTTGACCCACACAAGCGATGACTTGAGAAATATTAATACGAGAACCTTTGGAACCAGCGACCACCATAATATTGAAATTGTTGTACTTAGATAGAGAGCGCTGAGCACAGCTACCAGTTTTATCACGAGCGTCATTAAGAATTTTATTAACGCTGTTTTCGAAAGTTTGTCGAAGTGTATTGCCTGGTGTTGGCTGTAAGTCGTAATTATGAGCCTGATCAATAATTTCGAATACAGCGTCTTTTGCTTTGGTAATTGTACCACTAATTTGCCGACGAGTTGCCTGGTCATATAGTGTATCAGCAATACCAATTGTATGTCCTTCTATAAGAAGCCAATTGTTAACCACTGTTTGGATGTTATTGAAAAACATGTTAACTTGATCATGATGATGCTCCAATGCAACGATATGAATTAAAGAGCCTGCACCAGAACCTAGTGTTTTTTTGCATAAAATACCTGAGATTAAATCTCCGTCATCAACAATAACTTTAGTATCACCAGGAGATATCCATTTATAAGGGCCAATATCTTCTTCTTCTGGATGAGTACTATGCGTACGAATACAATTGACTCGACCAGGTATGACAAGGCTAAATAACTGCTTTCCAGTCCATAGACGTTGAGGTTTGTAAATTGCTGGTTTAGGCATACGACCATTCCAAGTTGGTAAGTACATTAATAAGTTCATCATTTCAGACCGATTTAAAAAGACATCACGCTGCGTCATCTTATTTACTGCAGTTAGCGTATCCTGGACAATACCCATAACAGGTTTATTAGCTTGTGGTGTGATCACTAAACGTGAAACACGGGCTAGCTGACTTATTTCCGCTTTCGTTTCAACAGATTGTGGGAGATGTAAGTTCATTTCATCGCCATCGAAATCAGCATTATAAGGTGAAGTAACAGATAGATTTAAACGAAACGTAGACCAAGGCAAGACTTTAACACGATGACACATCATAGACATTTTATGAAGCGTTGGTTGACGATTGAATATCACAAAGTCATCATTTAACATATGCCGCTCAACAATGTAACCAACCTGAAGTGTTAGGTCTGAAACTTTAGGATGATATCGTAAATCTATACGATCTCCATTCTCACGTACTATAAACTTAGCACCAGGATAAAGGGTTCCATTCTGTACTAGCTTTTGCAAGTGATCTATGTTAAATTGAGTAACTACCTCAGGATAAGTTAGATTTTGAGCTATTGTTCGTGGGACGCCTACTTGATCTAAATTGAGATTGGGGTCGGCTGTGATAACAGTACGAGCTGAGAAGTCAACACGCTTTCCCATAAGATTACCTCGAATACGACCAGCTTTACCTTTGAGTCGTTGTTTGATAGACTTCAGTGGGCGTCCAGACTTCTGAATCGCCTTAGGTAACCCGGGAACTTCATTATCAACCATGGTTGTGACGTGGAACTGTAGCATTTTGATGTCTTCAGCAATTATATGGGCTGCTGCACCATTTTGTTCGTCTCGACGAAGCTGGTTGTTCGCCTTTATAATATCAGCAAGCTTGTGTGTTAAATCGTCTTGATTACGAGTGGCTCCATACATCACAACGGCAGGACGGACACACAGAGGAGGGACTGGCAGAACAGTTGCAATCATCCAATCAGGTCGTGCATAACGTGGATCAAACCCGAGAGATAAGCAATCTTCATCTGACATACGCTTAAAAACTTCTAATACGCGTTCAGCAGTCAAATTAATCTTCCGTTCTTGTGATTCCTCGTTTACTTTTTTCCATTCAGCAGTAAGCTCAAGTCCATTACGACGAAAACGAGGTTGATAACGTCCACAACCAGAGCGTTTTACCTGTGTAATAAGAAAAACAATTGAAATACTCTTGTTAAATGACATTCAACTTGTCCTACAGTTTGTAGTCAATAATGTATTGAATCTGGACAAAGCCATGAATACGACTAACCTGAGCTACTTCTTTAACTAAAGTACACCAGAAATAACTTGTTAAATCAAAAACATGCTAATAAAATTACAATTTTCGTAAAGACTATACTGAACGTTTGTGTTGACATGAAGTCAACATTTTACGTGACAAAAAAAGCAGACAAAAGAGCAAGATTATACATAACTAGTTCGAAAGCGTAGCCACAAAACGAATGGGATTGTTTGTAACCTCGTTATGATTTACCAACATTAACATATATCCAGCTAATTTGCTATCTGCTCATCACTAACATTATGGGTGGGAATTAATTCATGATTATCCAGTAAATTCTGTAAATATTTCATAGTTATATGATATATTCACGGGATAATGGAAAATGTATATGCATCACATTGACGTCAAAAGAAAATATGAGTACGAAGTTAACATCGATGTGCACTTACGATTTTCTGAATTCTTAAAAACCAAAAGCAACCTCAGATAAAAACTTAGATTCCTATCAACCAAATCAAGACCCATTATGACAATCGGATGTTACCTCATATATATACTGATTAAAAAATGAATTATAATCTTCTAGAAAAGTTACTTCATAAACATACAGTTTATAATATGACTGCGTTTTCTTGCATGTAAATTAGAAATGAATCGAAGATCGCTAACAAAATAATCAGATTAGCCCTTAGTGTCAGGCTGCTTCTGGTGGGTATGTTACTTTTCCAACTACATTCAACCAAAATACTCATCATATGACCCACTGTCTAGAGACTACAAGTGTTCATAAACATGTGGATGTGACAGTTCACATATCCTACACTAAATATACTCCCGTTTAGTACTTCAAATTTAGCGGGATCCAGACATTCTGAACAGATAGATCTTAACACCTATTACCGTAAATATTATTCACGTACATTCTGAAGTTAATGCGAATTTCCGTGCTTCAAACAGCGGTTACAAAAAAGAATAAGAGTTTATGAACACCGAAACTCACTTTACTACTGAGGCTGACATCATTTTCGCCTTGGACTTGATCATCGTTAGATATACATTCAGATCGTGTTTTGCACTCTTCATACATAAAAGACATTCTTCGTCTATTATCGCCTTTTGTTTTGCGTAGTATCTCTTGGATCCTTGACGACTGCACATCAACTAGAATCTTTGAACAGTAGAAACAGACACAGCGTAGGACCTTCATAGTTTTTTTAAGGAAGCCAATGTGGAAGACGGGTTTCGCAAGTTCCACGTGACCAAAATGTCCTGGGCAAGATGATACACTGCCACTACATGTTTGACAGATAGAGCTACGATCTACACAACCCTGACGAGGATCCATCAACCCACCAAGTTTTGGCTTCCCTCCTTCCATGGTCTCTGCATACTTGATTCCACCATCTGCAGTGACGGATAATTCTTTCTATAAAAGGTTAGTGAATGGCAATAATTTATTTAACATACTAAAGAAGTTAATTAGAAATTTGTATCCTAAAAGTGGTTACTACTAAATAACTGATTGACATACGACCCGATAAAATGAGGCTTAAATAGATTTTTATTGTACTTGACATAAGACACTTAATGGTTTTACTAATGCTCAGACACATGTCATATCATTTGTTATCAACTTTTATGGTAGTGTATTATATTTTCACCTCTACAAAAATTAGAACCTTCAGCAATCTGTGAGACAAGTGATAGTGATTTACAATACCTGGTCGCTCTGTTTTACATTTCATAGCCGTAATAATCAGTGCATTTAACACATCTCGCTGGCTCGATATATCCTTTTATTTATTACTTTTGAGCACAAAACTATCAAAGTAAATATCTTGTCAACCACTCCACTTAATCCTAGATTTAGTCCGAAACATTCAAGTCAGTTACAACGTATGATCAGGAATATATATGCATCCATCGAAGTTGACATACCCCATTAGCAAAACAAGATGGACACCAAATTCATACAAGTAGTCACTTCAATGGTAAGAATATATAAAAGAAAGATTGCACATAAGGATATAATACAGGAAGGAAGAATTAGTACGTAGACAGAAAGGTATAAAGCTATTTTAGTCTCACACCTTAAGAGAAGACAAAGATTGCATACACATACCCCATTGTAGTCGATTCTGGGCCATGTCACCCAGTGTCTCCAACCATTGGTTACGATAGTCGCGCGGACCCCGATCAAGTAGTTTGCAACTACTAACATGGTTCAAACCAGAAGTCAATGACTTCGCCATAGGTGACGTAAGTTGGCAAGAGCCAAACGGGCTTTCTGAATCCGTACAGAAACTTCGTCAGACACCAATCCATTAGGGCTGACTACCAAGATAAGTGAGGTTGTCAACGCGTTCGACTATTTTACTCTCTATCCTTGGTTCAGGTGTTGACGCAGACTAATCCTGAAGCAACAACTTGCATTTAGATCGAGAGAAAAGGGATCCGAAACATCCTGGCATTGTTATTCAATGCTATCAAATGACTCTTCATTTTACCAGCGCCTTCACCAAACAGGACCATGTCATCCGCGTATTCTAAGTCGAGAAGTGAACATCCTGATAGATCTATTCCTGGAAATTCAGACGACGAAAACATTATTTTCAGCAGAAGGTCTATGATGGAGTTGAACAAAAATGGAGACAGTGGACAGCCTTGACGGAAACCAATTGAGGTTGCAAAATCAGATGACAGTTCGCCATAAGCTCTGACTCGACTGGTAGTGTTCGAGTAAAGAGCCTTCACAAGCTTAATGTACTTCTGAGGTACACCTTTCAATGATGGACACTGCCACAGAACCTCTCGGTCTACTGAGTCAAATGCTGCTGATAAATCAAGAAAAACTATCGTTGTCGGACGCCGATAAGCATGCCTGAGTTCTAGAACCTGACGAACGGTGAATATGTGGTCGATGCAGACACGATCAGGTCTGAAACCGGCCTGATTTTCTCGTGTTTGCAGTTCACAAGTCTTTGTCAGTTGCCCGAAAATTATTGAGGCTAGTATTTTAGATGCTATGTTAGTCAAAGTAATCGCTCTATGGTTAGCACAATATGATTTTGACTCCTTCTTATATATTGGGACAACCAGTGATTGTGACCAGTCAGATGGAAAAACGTCTAACTCCCAGATTTTAGCTAAAATATTAGTTGACCTAATCGCTAAAATTGGACCACCATCCTTAAAGACCTCTGGAGCCAATCCACCTGGACCAGCTGCCCTTCCTCGTTTCAGATTAACTACGGGTTTTGAACTTCAACTAGGGTCGGGGTACCTACCTCAATGTTCCGCCCAGGCTGTTTGGTAATGGTGGGTATTTGTAGAGTAGCTGGAGGTCAACTGAACTGCTCCTAAAAGTGTTCCGTCTATCGTTCTAAACGTCTGGGCTGAGAGTAGGTAAGTGTCGTCTTTTTCTGAGATCTCACTTACACTCGACTTCTTAACTCCAATTTCTTTTATTAGTCTGAGAAGCCATCTGATGTTATCTACAGCCGCTGCCTTTTCTATCTCTTGCTTTTGTTGCCCACCACTGCTTACGGTCGTTACTTAGACTTTCGTTTGACCTAGAACTTATTTGTTTTCGTTCTTCATCGTGTTCAGAGCCTGATGGTATGAGTTTAAAGTACTCTTTAGTATAAGATGTCTGGAATGAACTATGCACACACAACGGTTCAATCAGGCAAACATAGACTTTCTTCATTGATAATGATCAGTTTAAAATATGGTGTCGGGGTATGACAATCTGTTAGTCTATCACAACTGCCTGGTTAAGGTTAAGGAACATAAACTGGTCCCAGTTGTACATTTTTTAACGGAACGACTTCTATCATTATACACTCTCCCGTGCACTTGTTTTCATTCATCTATTTGTTCGAGATCGTACTACCTCTCTACGTAAATTACTTTCTTATGCCTGTTACCCCTCACCGAGGAGTATAAGCCGCCGACCAGCATTTTTTATCCAACTCTGTCCTGGACAATCCCCTTCAATTGCTTCTACTTGTTATTCATCCTTGTGGTCTGCTTCTAAATCCCGACACAGTGTATTCCATAGTCATTCTCTCACAACTGATTGATCACTGGGTGGTGATATATGTCATGTGTGTCAAGTCCTTGTTAGTGCAGATCGAATGCTATAGATAGCTCAGTAGTAACGTACCTGACTGAAGCTGGATGGCACGGGATCGAATCCGTTAGGGAGGCACCAGTTCCCTCAAGATTACGGCTACATCTTGCTGACGAGTGCCAAGTAGAACGAAACCCGGGTCCATGGTTTCCTGTCGACTACCTCCAACCACCATCTAATGGTCATTCTCGTTTCCGTTTCCCTTCAGGATTCCAAGTTAGCGCTTGCTTCGTGATGCAGTTTAATGATTTCAGTAGAGTTTGCCCTATTCACTTCCAGCGCCCTTTCCTAATTTCCTTTTCAACTTAAAGCTGGTTTGTTCTCTCCCATAGAAGGTTGTTGCTGACGACATCCGGTCAACGGACATTGAGTATCTTGCGTAGACAATTGCTTATACATACTTGTACTTCTTTGATGATTGTAGTAGCTCACTAAGTTTCAGCTCCGTACAATAGAATTGTCTTGACATTCGTATTGGAGGTTCTGATTTTGATATTGGTTGACAGTTATCTTGAGTTAATAAGTGAAGGATGTTACAACACCCATCTACTATTAGATTGCAAGCGGGATAGCAGTAAATATTTGTACTTAGACCCATTGCTGCGTGTGTAAAAAATAAAACAGGAGCTCCTAATCAAACTACATGTAGGCGGATTTGGTTTGTGTGATAGGGAGTTAACGTAGCGAGACAGCGATCAATATCATTTCAAGTCACATAAAATTCGCAGAGCTCAATGGCATGAAGAACGAGGGGAACACGCCTGAAGAACTATCAGGCAGATGACTAGTAAGTCCAATTGTTGTGAAGGAATGTTGTAAGTTTTTAGTGCATGGTCAAATCTCTCCGTACACGCGTTCCCTATCGGCTAAAACCAATCTCAGTAGGGTGGGGACACTCCGAAAGTGATTCAAGTACGCAACGTTTCCACGAATCATTGTTGGGACTGTATAATAAGATCGTTTGTATTCACTCAGGAACCTCCTCTAGACAAAGAGCCAGATCAAAAAACAGTCAACAGAACACCTGCTCACCATGTACTTCGATTAAAACGATGTACTTAGGGCTCTTAGCACTTTAGACATAGAAAAGTCGATAAGATCAGATGAACTACACCCCAAAATCTTGAGATATAATGCACAATATATCGCAGCCCCATTGACTGTGATATTCAATATGTCACTTGACCAAAGCGTGTTACCTATGAACTGGAAGGACGCAATCGTCACTCCCATGCATAAAACAGGACCAAGACAACTATCGAACAACAGATTGGTAAGCCTCACCAGTGTTTTAGTTAAAATATTGAAAAGAATAGTCAAACGGACCATAATGACATTTATGGGAACCAATAACTTGTTGAATAGCGAATATGGTTTTAGAAAAAGGTTGTACAACGAACCTTTTTATAGCAAGGGAATTATGGATAAAGGCACTAGACAACGGAAACTCAGTGGATATTATCTACATAGACTTGAGTTAGGCTTATGACAAGGTGCCAACTAATAGATTGCTATTGAAGTTAGAAAATCTTGGTATTGCCGGACTTCTTTTAAAACGGCTTAAGGATTTCCCAGTAGGTCGTAGACAGAAATTAAGAATAAACTCCAAGTGCTCCATCTGGAGACAAGTACTTATTGGAGTACCTCAAGGTTCCGTCCTAGGTCCTTTACTTTTTATACTGCAAGTAAATGATCTACCAAGCATAGTACAGTCTCCAATGTTATTATACGCTAACGATGTGACAGCCTGGCGAGTAATAACTGCAGGCGCATGCGCTCTTCAGGCAGACTTAAATAATATGATTAACTGGTCTAAAGAGTGGCTGATGCCTATCAGCGCGACAGTGTCTACATGCACTTTGGGGATACAAACGTTAATGGGTGCAGCATAGGAGAAGTGCCAGTACCCGTGGTCCGGTCTCATAAGGATCTAGGGGTGACAGTGAGTCAATCTTAAGACGACGGCCCATTACCAGGAGGTTGCAGCTAAGGGGTTTAAAACCCTCTGGGTTTTAAAACATTCATTAAGCTAGATACCACCATATTTACTACAATACATACAACCTTAGTGGGAACTAAGTTTGAGAACTGCGTTCAGGCTACAAGCCCCTGTTTTAAAGGTGACTCAGATATCCTAGAATAAGTACAGAGGGCAGCTACCTGTGCAATTCCAGAACTCCAGGGTTTACCATACAAAGAGCGGCTTTAAAAGCTGTACCACTTTGCTCTGTCCTATCGCAGACTAAGGGGAGATCTAATTTTGGTGTACAGAAAGCTGAGAAATGATTTTGGACCTAGCTCATTCTCTCTTTTTCTTCCCACTAGATCCGGACATCTCAGACGACGTAGCAGACGAGTAGAAAAGCCAAGAACAAACAAAATACCTGTGGCATACAAGTTTATACACCGAGTCATCAATACTTGGAATCTGCTGCCCGAAGCAGTGGTGGCCGCGCCTTCAATTGACTCTTTCAAGAGAAGACTAGACACACATAAGCATACTAGAAAAGGAACAACATAGGCCGTGGGCCTTATGTCCTTACTACACAAATCTGAATCTGTATTTACATATTAAAAGTTTAAAGCCAATTCAAACTTTAGTAACATGAACTAAGTCTACCATCGATTTTAAACCAACACATAACTTTGAAACCTTAGTCACTTATTAGAATTGAAAACTCACAATCTCATCTGGGCTAAGTATACCGAACTGTAGCGCTCGTACCTCCCTCAGAGGAGGCGCACCACCAACTATGGGAGGCATAAGTGGCTAACTGTACGGCGACCTAGGAGGTTGAACGCCCTAAGGTCATTAAAACAAATATGTCTATTATTCACTATGATAACACAACTTTCTAAAATAAATAATGGTGAAAAAATAGTTTAATAATTTAACCGACCTCGATTGAACAGTGTAAAACAATAACGGTGGACCCTGGAAGTATGTCAAATGGTTTTAATGTTCGTGTGTAGAATAGAAATTTTTACTAGACGATATCCTGTGTTTGTTAACAATGATCCATTAGTGCCACCATGCGGTAAACCTCAGTAAATCGATACGAGATGTTATACTGAATCTATAAAGGAACATTTGGTTTGTTCTTGAAGGACAACCGGGAAACCCAATCTCGTTCCACGACTTGATTCGTAATAAGCACCAAGTACGCTTACAATAAAACCTGATATGCTATCTTACCTCTGTATGGCAGGAATTAGGGTTGAAATAAAGGCTTCGAAGTATTCCTAGGCATATCTATAATGTTATAAATCATTCTCAAGCCACCTCTTATTTTCCTATACTCTTAGAGACTAATGTTCTTGGGGGTGTAGTGACTCACTTTTATCACGAGAACACGATTGGTTTATGGAAAACAATTATTATTATAACCAATTGTACCAGTGACTGTTTTAATGTGCTTTTGTTTAACTGTGCCAAAAAAACATCCATTATTCACACACTTTGATTGTGACTTCGCGCGAATTCGGTTACGTTCTGTAACCAAGCTTGTATCCTGGCATGATCTCGGTATCCTTTCGATACCACGAGATCGCCAGCAAATATATCTCGACTTGGTCCATTAACCGCCTTCTGATACTTGGCTTCCGCGGGATTTTTTGGAGTCATTTGGCACGTGTTTCTCTGTAGCGGTGTTCATAGTCAATTTCGGCTCGACTCCACGCTACAGGGGCTTCTGTTGGGCTGCAACTAAATGATTTGTGGATTTTATTTAGTTGTTGCACAGGTTACTTGAATATCTTAAGAGGGACGGAAAAAAAGTTATGTTTTAATGTCCCGAAGCCTAAGGAACGACTAAAAAACGAGTGAAAACTACAACCGTCAAACTGTTCAAAGTTCGTTTAGTGGTGAACAATTCAAGACTGTCTCAAAAGTCATTAATTCGGATTTCATGTGGCTAGACGAAGAAGATTATTCGACCGAGACAGATAACTATATCATTCATTCTGCATTTTATATCTACTCCCAACAAAATGTACAAATAAAGGCTGTCTCTAGAGTGGCTTTGAAATCGTTCTCCTTGCCCAATTTGTTCATTTACTACTTATACATCTTCATGATTTTTTTATGGACAGACAGTTTTGTATGTTATAAGTGCTCCCAAATTTAGCACTGCATTTTTCTACCACAATTGTTCGCCTGCATAAAATTACACACTATGTATGCAACAATATCCTCACAAACTTTTAGTCAGTGATCACAAAACCAGGCAAGTGCTAAGTTACAAATCCATTTTACCACCTAGGGCCAACAAAACTTATTTAGATGTCAAGTTCTATCAGTTAGTAATGAGATACAATTCAGCTCAACGCACAGTAATCAAAATATAAGAAGACATTTGTTAGCCTCTAGGACCCAAACGCAGATGACAGTGGCTCAACGCGATATAAAAAGCCAACCCACGAAACAACAGAAAAGATACACTAGTTAAAAACAAATGAAAGTCCTGAATGGATATGCATTATTTCCACCAGTCGAACCTTCGGTTGATGATTGCTTACTTGCGCCTTTTACGCGGTCAACGAACGTTGAGTGTCTTGTGTAGACAACTGTTTATGCATGCTTGTACGTTTTTGATGATGGCTATAGTAGTTCTTCAAGTTTCAGCTCCGTACAATAGAACTGTCTTGACATTCTTATTGGAGGTTCTGATTTCGATATTGGTTGACAGTTGTCTTGAGTTCTATATATTCTTTAACTACAGAGTTTTGCCATTGCTTTGAAAATCCTTGCCTTTGCGTCTTCATCTGATCCCCCCTTCTGTTCATACGTGATGCTGTCCAGATACATGGAAGTTTCCACTTCTTCCAGAGTTTCTCCATCAAGTGTGATTAGATTGGCGTTCTCTATTGAATTTCAGGATTTTGCTTTTACCCTTGTGTATATTGGAGCCTACTGATGCAAAGGCTTCTGCTTGATTGATTGTCTTGACCTGCAATTGTTCATGTTTATGAAATAGGAAAGCTAGGTCATCTGCGAAGTCCGAATCGTCTAGTTGTATCCAAGCTGCCCATTGTATTTCGCGCCTCCCCTCAGATGTGGAGGTCTTCATAACCCGGTCAACCACCACAAGACAAAGAGGGAGTGTGACAGGCATTTCTGACTCCATTCCTCACTTGGAATGCGTTTGTAAGATGTCCTCCACGCACCATTTTGCAAAGTAGTCTGTCGTATGAATTCCGTGCGATACTGACGATCTCCGGTACACCATAGTGTCGAAGTTTACATAAGGTTCTCCAATCCACTCGGTCAAACGCTTCCTCGTGACCGAAGAAGTTGATATAAAGTGAGGAATTCAACTGGTGTCGCTACTTAGTCTGTGCACGACCGATCCTTAAAGAATCCGGTTCGTTGATCTTGGAGCTGGGCGTCTACTTGATCCTTTATTCGGTCCAGCGAAACTGTTGAAAACTCTTCCTGATACCAGTAGTAGTTTGATGCCTCTGTAGTATTCACATTTCCTCAGATCTCTCTTTGGTATCTTGATGAAGTATCCTTTCCGATCTGTCGGCAATTGTTCCTCTTCCCGAATCTTCTTGAATAGAAGGTGGAATATGTTTGAAGTTGCTTCTGTCTGACTTCAGTGCCTCAGCTGGCACAATGTCGGGTCTCACTGTTTTCTACTCTTGATTTGTCTGATGGACATCTTGATTTCTTTGACAGTTGGTGGAGTGAGCCAAAGGAAGGTCTTTAGGTGCTGCCTCGATGTCCGGTGGATTCAATGGAGCCGGCCTATTCAGATGTTCCGACATGTATTACAGAGCTCAAGATAAAACAGTGTTGAGGTATTTCGTGATTTCGTTGTAACACGGACGTTTTCCAATTCTAGAAGAGTGCTTCAATTTGCAATGATAAAAGCACGGTTCCACTCAATGCAAGCAACAAAATCAAAAAGAGGAAGTGATTCAATATGGCAGTCACCATGACCAAATGCTAACTAAAGTGACATAAATGTAGTTCAAAAAACATGGGGACTCAGTGAGAATGCATGAAAAATAAAAACTATGATAAAATACAAATAGTACCATTTCAAATGAAATCAAATGATCAACAAAGTGCACATGGTATAATACGACATATTTCAGCCAGGGCAGGTGCATGCCACTTTTATAGGCATGATCTATAAGTTACAACATTAGTTTGCCCACAGTAAGCGTCCCAAGCATAGTTGATAAATAGATGAGATCAATAAAAAAGAGTCTATTCGTGCAAATGTCTCAGAGAATTAATTATTAGGTTTACACTGAGTATAGTTTTTGAAATATTTTTTTCGAAATTAGCATCACACACGTTTTGCACGGCAAATTCATACCCAGGGTAATTGTGCAGGGATTCTGGTCGCGCTAAATATCTGTTCAATACAAATTTTCAAGCTTTTAGTTGTTATAAAGTAGGTTTGTAGAGTGCTTGATGAGAGCTACGACCTTAAAAAAGGTATATGTTAAGTTTGTTCCGGGTGTCAGAAGCTTTATAGCTGTGCATTGAGAAAGTGATGCTGAAAAAGTGATACAAAGGAGCAACAAAGCATTTGTATATAGACGCTAAACATTACTTAACGTTTTGTAGTGGAACAGAAAAAGATGTGAATAATTAGTAGATTAAACTCATATTAGCTCGTGTTGCTAGAGTGAAATTTGGTTAGAGCCTTCAGATAGGAGAATGAGGTAATAAAGAACAGTGGTTTGTGATATTCAACAGGGTGGATTAAGTTCAAATGATCGAAGAGAGGTTGAAGTTAGAATAAAAAAAGGCTGTTTATTAGAACGGAAAGATCACCGAGGCTGCAAAGCGTTAAGAAACACCAATAACTATATCTTTTATTACCTGATCTTTCAAAGAGCTTTCTGTCTAATGTCAGCCACAACCTCCTAATTTAAAATTCGGAGTTAGCATGTTACAGGTTGTCCTAGTAAAATAGCTAATTGAGCACAAAATTGGTGAAATGAGGGTGAATAGTGGGCGTAAGAGAACGACCTCAGTATCACTGATTGATCACTTCGTTATTGGTCATAAAGAGACTGTGACAAACAAAATGTTGGTCCTCATAAACATGGGTGGATTTAATAAATCGGCCTCGGGTCTGAAGGAATCAAGAGGAATAAACTACAACAATACGTGTGTGAAGGGATTTTCATACACAAAATCTCTACAAAGGATCTTACATTAATCGTCCCACCTGTCACCAAAAGATCGATGGAATGTGCAGACAAAGTGATCTAGATAAATAAAGCAACAAGTTATAACACGAAAGCTTGTAGAATTATGTCCTGCTTCGATGTTAGTACTGCTCTAATGATAGACATTATCCTAAAATTGTAGATTTGTCAATGTAACTGCCTAATCTATAAGATCTTATTGAAAGTCACATCATTGTCTACCCCGGTTCATCGCGTTGTAACAATCATCAATACATTATTGAAAACACACCTAAAGTAAGGATAGAACAGTATATTTCATATTGATAAAAATAATGCTGCATAAGTAAGACCACACCTACAAGGCCGAGACATGCCATCCGACCAATTATAATTAATTCAATTCCTTCTTCCCGCCTTCAACATCGTTTTGTTTTTCTCTGCGTTAAATGTTGAAAGTCTGTTTTCCCAATCGTCTCGTGTTCAGCTTTGAGAATTGTGTGGTTAGGGACTGATGCCACTACTAGCTTGCATTTCGAGAGGATTTTGAACGC